TTAAAAAAAAAAAAAAAAAAAAAAAAAAAACTACAAAAGCCATTTGAATGAGACATTTTGTCCCAACCTTTGAGGTTACTTTTATTGAAAGAATAATTTTTTAAAAATAAATAAATAATTTTTCTCTCTCAGAAAAAGAATTACAAATGCCAGTTTGCAAATATTAAAATTAAAATTATTATTATTATTATTATATAATATAACATAGAGATTGAGATTCTTACAAAAATATTACAACAAATAGAATTAATTTACATACTCATTATGGCTTTCATTTGATTTCTTCTCTCAAATGGCCTCTGGACGTTTCCTCTGATGACGTGCTGCTTTACAGCATCAGGAACATCTGTTCCCCTCTCATGGATTCCCTTCATCTTCATCTTCATCTTCGTCGCCGCCGGTGCTGCTCCGGGGGCCGACGCGGCCAACTTATCTATGTAATGTTCGTTCTCTCTCTCCTTTCCTTCTGCTGAAAAGCTTCAAACAATTACGAAGCATTGGTAGTCTCGATTAGTCTCGAACCTAGGTTAATCGTGTATGAATGGTGAAGTTTTGATACATTCTGACAGAATTTTGGTACCTTTGATATTTTACTTGAGAGATTTGAGGAGATCGGTGGGGATCGGTGCTGGAATTGTTTGGAGATTTGGAGTTCGGGCTTGAATTGGCTCGATCTGGAGAAATCTGATTAGGTTTGTTATCTATGATGATTTCTTGAACTTTCTCGCCTTTATTGTTCGAGATCGTTGAAACGAGACTCTCTGATCTTGATTCTTGGACTTGTGTTTCTTTTGTGGCTGAGGAATTTGTGGAAATTTCTGTTGAATTTGAATTTTCTGAGGTTACTGATGTGGAGGCAATGTTGAGGGATTCAAGCTTCTTCATCAGGAGTTTAAGCCTCCTCTCAGCTTTGTTCCTTGCCTCTGTCTCCTTTCTAATCTGATTCTCCAACTCTATCAACTTCACAATAACAGAAGAACAATGTTAGAGAATGGAAGCAAAGAGACATGCAGAATGTGAACTGTGATCAAGAAAATCTCCATTACCTTTTCCCCCATAAGCTCTGCTTCTTCTTTGGCCGATCTCGAAGCTTGTCTCTCTGCAAGCAATCTTCCTCTTAAGCACTCTAAAGTCTTCAAACCTTCTCCAACTTCCATTTTCTTTCCACTGCAACCAAATCAATCCATTTCACTCTCAATACTCATATCCATCTCAAGAATCTGAACCACAGAGAGAGAAAAAAAAAAAAAAAAAAAAACAGAGAAGTGGAAGAGAAAAGAGAGAGAGAATCCACCTCCATTGTCCATCTTCTTTGCAAGTAGTAGCCACCATTTTATTGAAAGCTTCAACAATCTGCTACATTCACCATGAAAGCAATCTATGAGCTCAAAATGAGAGAAAACTAGCAATGCAATGAGAAATGAAATAGTTAGTAATCTGGGGAGAGAAGAGAAGGGATTTTGGAAATTTGAATTACTTGATTCGGAGTTGTTTGTTTCAAAAAAACAAAGATGTTGTCAATGTCAGAACACTCCTTGGCCTTAGGCCTCTTTCTTATATAAGAAACCAAACCCAAACCCAAACCCACAGCCTTTGTGACAGGTGTTCATCCTTTCCCCCTTTTCTTTACTATTCTGCTCTTCAAAGCCCATGCAATTCCTGTCCAAACCCATAAATTTACTGAACATCATACAACAATTTGGTTACCTTTTTCAAAAGCCAAGCTTTGGTGGTTGAACTTCTAAACTATAATGATCACTTCATTGTTTGCACACACATAATGGATTTCTTGTGAAGCAATAATCTGCCATAGTCTATGATTATTTCATCTTTTTTTTTCTTTTTGCTCACAATTTCTTTTTATTTTTAATTAAAGCCTATTTTGATTTTCTTTATAAGTTTAATGAGAGTATAATTTTGTAGACCATTTTAAAAAATAAAGTGTGAAAACCTTAAGATTTGAAATTTGAAAAAATATGTAATAAGTTATGCCCATTTGGACCATTTTCAAATTATATTTTACCCAATGAGAAAATAAAAAATTAAAAAATAAAATAAATATTAAAATTAAGGTTTTACTTGGCGGTTGACTGTCACGTGAGGTCCCTGACTTTTGCGTCCTTCCCTTGCCGCCTCACATTTATTCCCGTCTATGAAGTATCTTACAGATTCAAATTTCAAATTTAGGGCATGTTTTTGGACTCTTTCGTCATTTTTAATTCTTTTTTCCTTTTTCTTTTCTTTTTCTTTTTTTGAAGACTTGTCTCTTCTTTTTATTCTTACTTTGCTATCATCAATTTCTAGTAATTTTTTTTTTTTTTAAAAAAAAACTCAAATTTTCTTTTATTTTTGGAAAGCTACATGGTAAATTTACCATTTTCACCTCATTTATCTTATTCTTTTTTTTTTTTTAATTAAAAACTAATGAGCTTTCAAATAGCTCATTTATTTATTCTCAGTTTAAGATATTTTATTTATTTGTTTATAATTCTTTCTCTAATAAATTTTTAATATGGCTATCTAAACTGGACAAAGAGTTTAGTTGGTTGTCGTTAAGTCTGTTCCCTTCGGATACAGATAAAATAATGCATGGGTTTTCACTTTTGCCCTAAACGAATGAATTGACGGAGAGAAATGAAGCAACAAGAGGAAGTAGTTCGACTCGAAGAGGAGAGAGAGTAAGTAGTCTTCTTTCACGATAAACAAGGAAATAAATCATTATTCAAATCATAATCTTTTATCATCAATTTCTTCTTCTTTTTCGGAAGGTTCAAGGAAGGAAAGACTCGAGCGAAAACATTCAAAACTTTAAAAATTAATTATTTTACTTACATAAAATTTTACATTTAATAAGATTCTAAACCGTTAACGAAATTATTGGATATGAAATTAAAAATTTACGGGATTATTCAATCTTTCTTAAACAAATTTTTAATGGGTAGGGCATATGTAGAAATTATCACTCTGAATTATGTGAACTTTATTTTATTTTATTTTATTTTATTGTAAAAAATTATTGTGATTATATATATTTTTTACTTTCCCAAAATATCTTGCATTGCACTCGACGACTCCACTTTTAAAGCCCTTTCTTTAAGAAATGGATTCATATGCATGATTGTATTAAATTAAAATAGTGCTAAATTCTATTTTATTTTAATTATTTATTTATTTATTTTTCGTATATGTTTTATTTAACTTAGAAATGTATTTATTTCATGAGTCTTCAAGTTTAAGCTCCATCAATAATAGTTAATATTAGTTTAATTAATAATTTAGAATTAATTTATTAAAAAAATTAGCTAAAATACAATTTATAGCTTTTAATTGTGAATTTTGTCGATTTATAAATTTTAAATATAAAAATAAAAATGGTGTGTAAGAAATGCGGGAATTTAGGTAAAAATCATTCTTTATTTGCAGAAGACGGTGACGAGGAGAGGAGTTCAAGCAACTGATAATCGTCAATGAACCAATAGTTTTCACAGGTGTGTTTCTGTGAGTTCATCTTTCGAATTGAACTAATGATTTCTACTCCATGTCGTTTGAATTTATCAGAGGAATAGTAATTTCTCCTGGGAATCGAAATGATCGGTTTTTGTATGATTAATCGAGGGTTTTGACCTAGCAAAGTATTGATTTGGAATTAGAGAAACCTCTGATTTAATCGAAAGGGTTTTCGTTGCCTCGAATTGCTTGCGAAAGGTGTTTTAGAGGTATTTAATACTGATTTAGGGTCTATGATTGTTTCATTGGAGAAGAAATAGGAAATTTGAGGCTTAGATATCTATATGTAAGCATCTTCTTCCAGGTTTCTCAATTATTGGTGAGAGAGCCGCCAAATCATTCTCTGTTTTTGTTTCTTGTTTCAAATGTTTCAAGCTTTTGAAGTTTTGAAATCTGATTCTGCCTCTGAAACTTGATGGATGGAACACGGGCATGCTTTTTTGGGCAGAGGAAGCCTGCTGATGTTTGGTCAAATTTGAACCAAATAGATTTCGGGCTAATTATCTTTACCTTTTTATTTGAATTTATTCTGGATGAAAGGAATACTCATGAACATATAATTCTTCATCTGTCTTATTTGATTGGAAAGATACGTTAGCTTTGTTTTGTTTTGCCCAGAGAATCTAATTTGTTTAAGTTCAGTGATATTTCCATCTTTGAGCCACTACAAAAAGTATTGTATACGATAAAGAAGCAGAAATTTCTCATTCATCTGACATGTGTATATAGGGTTATATATATATATATATATAAAGATATAGATATGTATATATATAGGGTATACCTCAGAAGTTGAAAATGAAGGTTGGACCTGAAGTTGAAAGAACTTCAAGTAAAATTTGATTTTTTGATGTTTTATTTTGCATGTAACCTCTGGTTTTTGTTCATTATTTCTTGTATGGTAATAATTTTTTGTACTTCTCTTACCGGAAAACATAGGTAGGAGCCCAAACTGATCTAGTGATGTAATAGTCTAAGCCCACCACTAGCAGATATTACTGATCTAGTGATGTAATAGTCTAAGCCCACCACTAGCAGATATTACTGATCTAGTGATGTAATAGTCTAAGCCCACCACTAGCAGATATTATCCTCTTTGGGCTTTCCCTTCCGGGCTTCCTCCAAAAAAGTTTTTAAACGCGTCCACTAGGGAGAAGTTTCCACACCTTTATAAGAATTACTTTGTTTCCTTCTCCAATCGATGTGCAATCTCACAATCCACCCTCCTTGAGGACCCCAGCGTCCTTGCTGGCACACAACTCGATGTCTAGCTCTAACACCATTTGTAACAGCTCAAGTCAGACAATTTATATTAGTGGTAAGTTTGAACGGTTTACATTGACAATATCTACTAGTGGTAGGTTTGGACTGTTACAAGTGATGTATAATGTTATCATTGGATTGGAGCTCCAGTCGGATAATATCTACTAGTGGTGGGCTTAGGCTATTACAAGTGATATGTAATGTTATCATTCGATTGGAAGTACTAACCAGTGACAGAGCTAAAGTGAGAGTTCATATTTATTGAATTTAGTATAACTAGCAGATGCTCTTAAAATAAGCAAACGTACTAAAACATTTCTCACGAGTTATGTTTTTTCATTATCCTCCTTTTCTTCTGCCCCATGTATGTTGCTTAATTCACTCATTTTAGCTTGAGCTCTGATGACCTTCTGACCCAATCAACAAAACACAAATTTTGGCTACATACCCTTTCTAGTAAGCTGAAGCTGTTATGTTTCTTTTTCTTCAGAGGACGGTGCGTTTGCTGCGAGCTCAAAATAAAGGTTGTTTAAATGGAGATCCCGAAAAATGAACAGGATACTGAACCATCATTTTCGAATGTTTATGAACTACCAGGAGAGCCTGCTATTGTAATTAATGGGGTGCCTGATATACCTGCTTGTGACACTGCCCCTTCTCTTTGTAATTCTCTGAAAGATGAAAATTTACTTGGAGGAAGTACAGGTTTTGGTGAGTGGCTAGAAGGAAGGGTTGTAAACAAGATGTTCGGTGATAGGTATTACTACGGTGTCATAATCGAGTTCGACAACGATACAGGATGGTATCGAGTGGAGTACGAAGATGGAGATTTCGAAGATCTCGATTGGCATGGTGTAGAACGGGTGCTTTTGCCGATGGACATAACAGTTCCATTGAGAACATTAGCACGGAAGACTCTGAAGAGAAGCAGGAAGGCTGAGAAGAACAGGAAGAACAAGAGTGGAAACAGTAGGGGCGATCCCAAAGAAATGGAGAGGAGTAGGAAGAAGAGTGAGGACAGTAAAGTTGTGTTGCCAACAGAACCTGCAGCCTGAGGGAAATTCTAGGTTCTTTGTTTTTTCCTTTCTTTTTGAATGGGACTATGAAGGAATTTGGTCCTATATTGGTTAGTAAGTAAAAGGGTTGAAGAACCAGGAGTTTTGGCACTCTTTCTTGTTCAGTCTTTGCTTTAACCACGTCTAAGCATATAATTATAATGGGTAATTTTGTTTGTAGTTTTGATAAGCATAGATTTAAAAATGAAATTGGATTCACAAGATTTTAAATCGGGTTCTCAATAGTTCGTAGAAATCGGATTCTCATTAAGGAATTTTTTTTTATTTAAATAGTTAATTTCAACTGATAGAAACAAATTAATATTATCTATCAAATTATATAGTTTGATATATGCAATAATAATAACAATGTGAGATTTCATATTGGTTTGGTTAGGGAACATTACAAAATATTTCTTGTAAGAGTTGTGAAAATCAATCTTAGTAGACACGTTTTAAAATCATGAGGCTGTGATATGTAACGGACTAGAGCGAACAATATTTGCTAGCGATGGACTAAGGTATAAATGGTATCAGAATTAGACACCAAATGGTGTGACAACAAGGACACTTGCCACAAGGGGGAGAATGGGGAGAATTGTGAGATCTCACATCGGTTGGAGAGAGGGACGAGACATTCCTTCATAAGTGTGTGAAAATCATTCCTTAGTAGACGCGCTTTAGAAATATAATGCCGATGACAATAAATAACCGACTAAAGCGAACAATATCTACTAGCAGTGGAGTAAGACTGTTACAATCAATAACGACAATAAAAAACTAATTAAAAAGTTGCAAATGGGACGGGATGGGGCGGGGGCGGGGGCGGGGGCGGGGATAGCTGGCTTCTTTTTTCTTTCCTACTCTCTCTTCCATTCTCCACCTAGTTATAGACCCCATCGCGTCGTCGTAAATGAACACTCCCAGTAAACTGACATCCAGTTCTATTTCTTAAACAAAAGTTCTCCCATTGATTCAAGTGATTAGGGTCATTTTTATACAGCACATTACATCATACAACTTCAACAATCTTATTTTTCATAAAACTTCAAAATCCAAATATCCTTCCTTACAGATGCAGTTCTTTAGCCCAAACAAACTGCCAACTTAGTGAAAAAAGAAAGATTTAAAGTCACTTTGAATGAATGTGATTAGTACCTGAAGGCTTGAGATAACGAAGATTCAAGTCATAACTCATAACACGAACAAAACGCCCAGCCATCGAGCCAACACAAAATATGCGTCGAATATAGATGATAACAGTTACTAATTATTGGAGAACCCGCATCAAAATTTGGTTGTTCAGGCAAAACCCTCTGTTCTTTGTAAGAAATGCATGCATTGCTTGTGTTGGTGAAGGGAATAGAACTGTAGCCATTCTCATGGGTTCTGGAAAGGATGCCCTACAGAGGTATAAATAATGCATCACAAAAAAAATTCCTACAAGTAATACGAACTTTGTCACGAATTATCGATCCTTACCTGAAAAACATATTGATTGAGGTTGCATCATAGTCACAGCCCAATAAGAAGCGTTCGACATCTTCGACCAATGCGTTTCGAGGTATTCCTTGCAGAAGGACCTATAAATGCTCAAATCCTCAGTAGTATCAGTTTTCTTCCCATCTAGAGAACAATATATTGCAAAGAAAATTGAATCTCACAGAAGAAAATTCAAAACCAACCCAGTGTTGAGAGTACAACCCTATGGCCAGGAAGGTAGCCAATCCTAAGTCTTGAAGTCTCATGCTTCGATTGAAATTTTAATCACTACGGTGCATGTTTTTTTATCTTTTACAAATGATCTTAAGATAAAAACCTTTAATCTTCTTGGTTTGAAGCAGTCGTTACAATTTCAATCTTGAGAAGGTACTAAAAGGAGACTCTAACCACATGGACTAGGCTACCACTTTTACTTCTTTCTAAATAATTTAACACGAAAAAGAACGCAAGGAACGATCCATTAAATATGCATGCTTGATCCTTGAAATCATATCATTCAACCACATGAAACCTTTCTCTAGTTATTAGACAAACAAAGCCAAAGTAGGATGGGCTGGTTTAACCGCCCAAGCCCACTGCTAGCAGATATTTGTCTTCTTTGGCCTTTCCCTCAAGGTTTTTAAAACACGTCTAATAGGGAGGGGTTTCCACACCCTTATAAAAGAATAACCGACGTGGGATCTTACATTTGTAACAGCCCAAGCCCACCGCCAGTAGATATTACTCTCTTTGAGCTTTCCCTTTCAGGTTTTCCCTCAAGGTTTTTAAAACGCATTTGCTAGGGAGAGGTTTCCACGCCCTTATAAAGAATGTTTCATTCCCCTCTCCAACCGATGTGGAATCTCACAATCCATCCCCCTTCGAAGCCTAGCGTCCTCGCTGGCACTCGTTCGTCTCTCCAATCGATGTGGGATCTCATAATTGGTTTCTAATCAAAATCAAAGATGCCTAGGGAAAAAACAAGTTGAAAATAGAGATTTCTCTATTGACAATGAGTTCATAGTTCTAAGAAAAAATGACATTACAGTTTTTCCGTTGTAAGGTGAAAGAATGTCCCACTGCGAACGATCAGCCTGAAATTCAGAAATAAAAGTTATAGCGTTCTCAAATTTTGAAGGGAAAAAAAAACAAAAAACAAATCCATTATTAGATATGTATTCATCAAAACATCACCCGCTCCAATCTGTACAAGCGACCTTTTCTTCCAATCACTCGAAACGCATTATCATAAGCCTGACGGGAAGGGAACTGCATCATCCTGATTACAACATCCATAAATATTTAATGAAAACCAACCTCAAACACAGTGTTACTCAAATACATATTCATAGTTCTTAAATAATCGATTGAGTTGCTCCTCAGAAATGCAATCCGTTTTAAGATCACAAGTTACGACACACTTAAAGAACACATAATCAATAGATTAACAAGTAAGCTAATTAACCCAGGGTTAAGGATGCACTTGTATTAAAGTGATCAAAGGATCAAAAGGGCAATTAGATATTAGATTAACAAGTAAGCTAATTAACCCAGGGTTAAGGATGCACTTGAATTAAAGTGATCAAAGGATCAAATGGGCAATTAGATATTCTTTGATCATTGCAGTTCAAACGGTTAGATGAACACGACTCTCCTCAATGGTATGATATTGTCCACTTTGAGCATAAGCTCTCATGGCTTTGCTTTGGGCTTCCCCAAAAGACCTCATACCAATGGAGGGAGTATTCTTTGATTATAAACCCATGAACATTCCCTACATTAGCCGACGTGGGCCTTTCATCCAACACAAACAATGATCAAAGGATCAAAAGGGCAATTAGATATTATTTGATCATTGTAGTTCAAACAATGCAGTAGGAATGGGAAGCATCTATATCCAATCTAAGCTAAAAAGAAGAAGAATATTACATAGAGGTTGGTGTGAAACTCCGATTGTATTCAACTTTGACATCATCCAAATTCAAATTACACCCTTCCAGCAAATTGACAATGTCCGTCTTTAGTGTATTCCTTGTGATACCATACAATTTTCCGTACACCAAACCTGAAAAGAAAAACTCATTACGCATCGCACCACGCAAAATCAGACGAGAATTGACACCAGAATAGCAGTAAGTACTCCAAAATGATTCTGTAGCGACTAAATGCATTCCAAATATCCCAGAAATCAAAGACATAAGAACTAAATCGATTAGAACAATCGAGTAAAGGAGAAAGAAAACTGTTCCTGAAATTTTAACCCGCCACCGTCTATAAACCCTAAACCTCTCCCAATATATCACAAAAAAGCATTGCCCGAACTCGACGAAGACATTGGAACGAGATTCATACCTGCAGTTTTTGATGTATCAAGAAAAGAATCGGCGGGCGGTTCCAAAGGGGGTTGTTCCCCTTCCGTCGAGAAGAATCTTGGAGATTGGCGGAAAAACACAGGGAGGCCATGATTTGCCCTTGCAGAAGGAGTAACGAAGTGCGATCCAAGTGCCTTACGGAGCAGACCGAGGGCCGACATTTTTGGCAAAGGAGGCGATGTTGGTGAGGGATTGAAGAAGATATGAGAGTTCAAGACTCGTTCACTGAGCTGAGGGGCGGTGCAGTGGCTGCTTCACCCTCCAAAGTTCCAACTAAGATTTTGGGGTCATTGATTATATTTTTTCAATTAAACTTCACGTCACCAACCCCAAATTTTGATTTCGGGTTGGTTTAAAAGTTAACCTAACTCGTGTACGCTTCTCCAAAGTTACGTTGGTCTAAAACGTCTTTCACAAACCCATCATATAAACGTTTTATTCTAACTCACATGAACGTCGATGAGGTAGCTCACGCTTTGGCTACCCATACAACACGAGCTAAGTGTCACGGTCATACTTGTTCAAGGCGTGCTGTCTATGACTATATGTCGGATGTCTCGGTCATGCTTGCTTATGGTTGCATGCCCGTTCGAAATCTTTTTTTACATGTTTTCGTCTTAGATATGTCCTCACTATCTCATGTTGTGTCATATATGGGGATGTACCATGTTTACACTTTTAGGGCTAAAATGTCTCAAAATATACTACAGGGGATATAACTAGTTGTTTCTTTCTCCTACTTGAGTTATATTCTATCAAAATCGTTGTTGTCTAATCACTTTTCACTTATAATATTACTTTTTTTCAAATTATTTTCAACGATTTCCTCGCTCACGTTTCCTAAAACATTTCTCTCAAACGTGATTTGAGGCTCGAGCATATGTTGATGTTGTCTGCAAAGTATGAATTTCTCACGACTAACTTGTTCGCTGATTTAGAACAAGTGATGCACAATGACTATCTTGCAGCTACAAAAGTACGATCGTGACATTTAGCATTTAGAGGTTTTATTAGATGGTTGTTCATCACGTATATCATTTATGGTTGCTTATAAATATTTGACTTTAAAAAAAAAAACTTTAAAAATAAAATAAATAAAATGTCAACCTAAATGTTGTGAAAAGAAAAGATAAAAAGAAGTCAAACTTACATAATTCAGAGGGTAGGGGGGGGAATAATCCAGTACAGCAGTTCCATACTACGGCCGAGAATCGACGGCAAATCGCAATCGGTTGCTGTGCAAAACCCAGCCTTCCAGATTACGCCACGCAACCACCATCACCCGATGACGTGGATATCACAACACGTGGCAAAGATTTGGGCAGACTAACAGTTTACCATTGGTGTAAGCGTATCACAAACGCAAGACCCCAAATCCCTTCATTACCCCACTGGTTTGTTCGCACGCCAAGGACCCAAATCGTCATACCCTCGAAGCTTCCGTTTGATTGAATCGGAGGTAAAACAAGTCGGCCACCGCCTTCTCCGTCGCCGGATAACTCATTGATCCCGTCGCTCTAACAGCAATCCGATATTCGTGATTATGGTTTTCTGAATTTGATTCAGGCGAGTTGCGTATAGGGTTTTGATTAATTCGCGATATGCCGATTCGGCGTAGTACGAGTTTCGAAGTTTTGACGGTTTTTCTTCTTGTTTCGGTATCTCTGAGCTGCTGTTCAGGTAAAATTTAATCGAATAGATGTGAGATTGTTGTTTTTGCTTTGATTTGGTTTCTGTGTAAATTGTTATTTGGCATTTTGTAGTCGGGGTTTGAATATTGGAAATGTTTTTCAGAGGGCGAAGAATCGGCGGTTGTTACGCTTGATTCCATCGTAATATACAAGACGCACGAATGGTTAGCTTCGAAACCGACTGTTTATTTTAAATGTCAAGGGGGAAATAAGACGAAATTGCCTGATGTACAGAAAGTGCATGTTCTATACAGCTTCAATGGTGAAGAATCTTGGCAGGTTTGTGGTCTCTCATTGAGTTGTTTTGAATAATGTTAAAGCTTTTCCAACTTTGCTTTTCCTTCTTTTCATGCCTGACTTTATTGGATGTTGTAATTTCACTCACGTTTGATAATCATTTGATTTTAGGTTTAAGCTTACATAGGTTTGAAGGCTAAAGAAAGTCATTTTCAAGAAAACTTAGTTTTTGTTTTTGAATTTGGATAAGAATCCAAATATATCAGTCAAAAAAGACGAATTATCGAAAAAAAATTGAGACAAAACAAGCCTAGTTTTCATAAACAAAAAACCAAATAGTTATCGAATGGGGTAGGTCAAATTTTAACGACAAAAAGAACACACACTGGTGGAAACTTTAGTGTCTTGATTGTTTGCTTCTAATTATGTAATGATTAAAGTTCTTCATACAAATTGGAAAGTAACATACCATTAGGAGATTTAAATATGACAATTGTAACTTTTCTATCTCATTCAAAACAAAAACCTTTTGAACTTTTTGTTGCAAGAAACATAGTTTAATTAAGAGTTCTGTTTTGGTTAAAAAGCGCATATTTCCTCTTTCATTTATCTCAACTGAGGAAAGGGATTGCATTGCATACACAGTAACAAATGGCACTGTTTACTATTGTTGTTTTGGTTCCAATGTCGAAATACTATCTCTGTGCTTTCAGCCATTGACTGAATTTAAAAGCAAAAAGTGTAAGCGATGTGGGTTCTATGAGGAGGACAGCATTAAATCTGATGATGTATTTGAAGAATGGGAGTTATGTCCATCTGATTTTACCGCACCTGATGGGGAATATGTTCGATACAACAAAAAAGAGTTCAATGCCACTTTTCTGTGCTTGGAGTGCACAGCTTATTCCAATGGTTAGTAATATTCCATAGTTTATGACTCTTCTTTTAGTTGAATTAATGTGGCCTTCATACAGCAATTATGTAGAAGGTTTCAACTGTATATGGTTTGAGTAATTGTTGAGTTTTAAATTACTGAATAAATCAGTTCCCTTCTAGATGTGAATGATCATATTGCTTTCCTCCACTAATGGTGGTTCCCTCAGCATGTGAAGAAAAAGGAAATCATCTTATTGATTCACTCTCTTAGATATTTTAGTTGTTTGTCATGGAAACTTTTGAGTTTGAAGATAAACACGATTCGTGAACATATAGATATAAGCTTTGTTGTTCTTAGTATCCTTGAAGTTCTGTATCACTTTTTCTTTCCTTACCTTCCGCCTCTTTTAGTGTAATAGCTCAAGCCCACCACTAGCAGATATTGTCTTATTTGGACTTTCCCTTCCGGACTTCCCCTCAAGGTTTTAAAATGCGTCCACTAGGGAGAGGTTTCTACACCCTATAAGAAATGCTTCATTCTCCTCTCCAACCGATGTGAGATCTCACATTTAGTTAAGATGAATGCAACCATATAAAACCTTAATCCACTCCTTTTGAGGGAACACCTCGTAACATTTTTCATTTTGGAAACTTTGAAGCCTTCAACAGGATTCTAAATGAAGTATGAGCGCTCGATAGAAAATTAATGTAATAATAATAAAAAGAAAAAAACTCTCCGAAGATCCTTTAGAATTTTAGTTAATTATGCATGGCATAATCAATGAACGTGCACTCATGCTTCCTGCCTGCTTCTCAATTATTTTAAACAAGTCTGTGACCATGACTCTGTTGACTTGTCCATGTGTTTTTGAAGAATTACAATCTGCATTTAAGAATTTGTCAAATTGATACTTGCAGTTACCAGTTCAAGCTCACATTCACACGATACAGAAAAGGGAATGCATGCTGCTGCAATCATACTTATCAGTGTTATAGTTTCAACTGTGTTAATTATTGGTATGGTGATAGGATACAAGTATTGGCAAAAAAAGAGAAGAGAGCAAGATCAGGCCAGATTCCTGAAGCTGTTTGAAGATGGGGATGACATCGAGGATGAATTGGGCCTTAACGATGTAATTTAAGAAGATTTGGTACACATCAAGAAAGAGAAATACATGTACAGATACTCATTTTGCATAATATTCTTTTATTACCTTCGGGTTAGAATAGAAATATCATGAAATTTCTGCTTTGTTCATTGATCATAGGAAGAACATCCATTCGAAGAGATATATGTAGGGGGCTAGAGGGAGAGCGACCATAGGGAATCCTGAGTTTTGCTTACTTTGGTGTAATAGAATAGGGAAAACTTCTTATTTCTTCTGGTAAAAAATAGTTGAAAACAAAAAAAGAACTCTGATTACATTGCATTCAGCCAATTGTTGTCTAGTTTCATGACCAATACCCCAGGATGGATTCTAGGAGGGCCACAGCCTCAGAACTGCAGTCTTGTTCTAGTCTCAATTCCTGTCCATTACAGTCCTGTTCATCTTCTCCAAGTCCAAACCAAGATCGAAAACAAGCCCAATCAAATTCATAGTATAGGTTTCTAGGATCACCAGTATAATCCTCAGTTTGATCCTCATTGTGGAAGAGAATCAGTTCTCTATTCTCCATTGTGCAGCCACTTTGATTGTCATGAGGGTCTTGGCCATTGAAGATGAGATCCGAGGAGTTGAGTTCATTCTGCGAATTCTCGAAACAACTGAGGTTAGTCCGCTCACCCTCGGGATCATCTTCAATTGGGTCTCCATCAGAAAACTGGTGTTGGCCTGTAAAACCAGTCCAAAATGGAGAGGGGCTCCTACCGGGGTAGTCGTAGCTGTTTGCATTGGCCATGAGCAGGCCAATGGAGTTAGAGCCACTGCAATTCATAACAGATGCTCAATAGTTGTGTCCTGGGGGATCAAAGTGTTGGTAGTATGCCCTGTTATATAAACTTGAAAAAGGATAAGAAAACACCATATTTAGCAACATTTTTAGCTTTTGAGTAAGAGAATATTCTGAACAGCTTTCCTGGAGGGGATGAAAAGCAGCAAAAAGAAGAGAAAAAGAAAGGCATCATCACCAGATTAGTTGCCAAAGCATCTTTATCAAATTTCTTTCCTCCACAGTGAACAAACAAGAAGCCGAATAAGAATCCTTTTCCTCTTTGCTTTCAGGCAAGAGATATGCCTTGCTCAGACCGTCGGCGTAGTGGCTAACATGTGCTACACACCATTGCTCTTATCTTCTGAGGTACATGCCAATGAAGGCACTCTTTCAGTCCCTGGACATGCAATTCACTAATGATGTTAGTACAACATTTTTAAAAAGACACGTCCATAGACTTTAGTTTGTGTTGTTACCAAATTCTGGACAGAAATATATTTGTTCTTAACGTGAAAACAATGTAAATTTAGTTCGTAAACTTTATCGTGTGTTGTTACCAAATTCTGGACAGAAGTATATTTGTTCTTAACGTGAAAACAATGGTAAATTTAGTTTGTAAACTTTATCTTGTGTTGTTACCGAAAGATGTTTCTTCTTGTGTTTTTTTGTGGATGATGATCTCCTTTGAATTGTCTACATCCTAATTTTGATTCCTGTATTCTATATTTTTGCTCATCTATGAACACGATGGGCAAGTTTAACAAGCACGTTTTTTCTTCTCTACAAATTCGGACAAAGAAAACATGACATGTCGGGTAGTTTCGTAACAAAAATGATAAAATTTATTGAAATGAGAGAATGTAATGCGTAAAAGAAGAAGAAATTGCACACGATGTGATGCTTATCATTTTGGAATGATGAATAGCTTACTCTCCTTAGTTGAAGATAGATATTTATATGAAAATCATTAGAGATTTCTCACATTTTCGGACCGAAGAGTTGTAATTTAGGCTTCAGCCAAATTGAACTTTCTTTCTATATTGGTTCAAATTTATCTTCCATTGGACTTATTCCCATATTCTTTGAACCTTGTAACAAGTTAGTAACGGTTTAATAATGTACTTTTAAATTCTTGCGATTTTCTTTTTTAACGTTGAGAATATCATTAAGATTTAATGAAATTTTCTATCCATCTTAACCAAAAATTTGTTAGAGATAAAATGTGTTTATAAATGATAAAGATATATTATTATATAGTAAAAATCAATACTTAAATTTGGTGAGATTTTTAAGATAGAGATCACATTGTTAAAGTACAAATAACTTGTACAGGCTAAACTTCAAAAACATAAAATGTTGCAAATTTCATTGCACTAGAATAAATTATTACTTCTATCAAAATTCTAAAAAACAAATGTGTTTTTAAATTTGAGAATCAATATTGCGTATACTAATATACGAATCGAAGTTCTAAGAATCAAAAGTGTTTTTACATTTGAGAATTGATATTGAGTATATTAGTATACGCATCGAACCTAAATAAGTGAAGAACTATCTCCCAGTGTACGTAATTCTTCGTTTGTAGAAATCAATTCCCTCAATAGTAATTGACAAGCACTCTTGATCTAGTCAAATGTTAGAATCTCCCTCCTAAATGTCGTGGAATTATCCTGGAGAATTGAATGAATGTTAAGCTACTGTTATTGTGCTATTCACAAATATGTGATTTCAGAAGGAATAAAGACTATTCCTTTTGAAAAAATAAAGACTAGAGAGTGATAATATACGTTTCTAATCAACAAAGCAGCATATTGCAAGAACACTTGATAGTCTATAAGAAAGATATGTGACCTTTGAGCATTCTATGCAGACTCAGAGCCCTGAACTGCCTTGTTGAAGCCTTCCAATTCCTTGGACTGGAAGCCATAGATTGTTTTTATGGTGTCCCTGCAGCTACTGCAGCAAAGATGAAGATGAAGATGAACAGTTAGCCCAAACTCCACCATTTACAAGAATTTGGTATCCTAAAACGCCAGAGCTGCATACTAATTGTTCTCACTTTCACCCACTACTTTCAACCCCTAACCCGTTTAATAATGATTTCGTTTTTAGTTTTTCGTATTTGCTTAAAGAACATTTGGATTCTTAGCTAAATTTTTCTAAAACTACTTTTTCAATTTTAAACTAAGCTTGGATTTTGGAAACAGTTTTACAAAATCGAGATGAAGATAGAAACTCGTTAATAGGACTTGTAAAATAAGCAACCAAATGATTATCGAACGGAGTCTAATATGTTTGTTTTTGGTGTGTTATGTTTTCGTTTATCTACTTTCTTCAAAATTTGTGTTGAATAGTCATGTTACCATATTAACAAACTGGACTATTTAGAATGTTAGTTCAAAATTCAATGTCTAAGAACAGTTCAAGAGTTAGATACCAATTAGATGCAAATCTTTCTTGAACTGTTAAATCAAAGTTTATAAACTAAATAAACAATCAGCTGATCAGGAACAAAATTTTTAAAGCAAAACATATCCACTCATGAACAACAAAATATGGAATAAAAGAGGATAAGGTTTATGAGAAGACCTGCAAGCAACCTTGTTGAACTTGTTTTCTTTAATTCCATATAATTTTTCAAACACAGGAGACTCTACACGGCAAAAATATGGTCGATCTGTGAAAGTTAATGGAGAATTTTAAGCCTCATGTTTGAAACACAGTGTTCGAATTCAAAATTGGAAGCTGTGGCCGAAGGAAAATCTTACCGGCGTAAATGGAGCATTTACGTGAACTCTTTTCGTAGTGAATGCACCATCCATCTGCGCCAATCAAGCTTTTATATAGCTGAAATTCATAAGATTAGACCATATCGATTGATACTGAAAATCACAATGCTGAAGAAGAAACAAATGCTTTAAGGAAAATTCCATCTGAAACCCTAAATTTTTGCGTTGAAATGAAATGACGAACCTCGATATCGGATGGATTCTGGAAGATTTCCTCTGGCGAGGCGAAGGAAGGCCCCTTGGCAAGCTTGCAGCAGGCGCCGCATCCCTCGACGCACTGCCATAATTCCTCCTTTCTTTTGCCTGCGAACCCTGTATTGGTCCTCCGCCCTTGCCTGGTCTCGTTACCCTTCGTCGGAACCTGCTTCGACCGGCGAGCAGCGATTACGGTGACCTGCGGCGGAGCCACCATGTGGAGCATTCTTTGGAGTTTGGATAAGAGTATAATAAACTGTGACTGGATTTTTAATAAAGAAATTCTCTCTTATGGACGAATTTTAACTTAACAATTAAAATGTTTAAATTTTAGTTTCTAAAGCTAAAAAAAATATTTATTCTTCTAAGTATTTAAAATTTTAAAATATCCAATTAAGTCATAAATTTTAAATTTTAAATCTTAAAATTCTCAATTTTCTAACTTTATTACATTTTTGTATTAGACAAAATAATAATAATAATATATATATATATATATATAAATATAGATATATCAATCAAGTATTATTCAACCCAATTGAAAAATTAACTATATAGTAAACATTATTTAAAAATTAGAGACTTATATATAAAATTAAACTTACACGTTTGGACCTAACCATTTAAATTTAGATTTTATCAATTTTAATCAGACTTTTATTAATATATATATATTTATTTTTTTTTTGAGATTGAATACTCAAAATTTCAAATCTCGTCCTAAAAAAGTGACAAATGAGAATGTGAGGAATAAATATCGACCCCATAAAAGAATTAGTAAGCCCCAATAAGGGATCGTGCATGTGTAAGATGGAATTGACAATGAAGAAACAGACTTTGTAGATCCAAGAAAAATCGGTCAACCAACCATTTTTAATGCCCATATGAAACTATCGAACCACCAAGCATGGCAGAAATGAGTATTCGTGTTGAAAAGTCCAAAGGACCTCTTTGTTAAGAGTAGCAAAACTAGTCTCACTCCATTTAAGATCCCTCCAAGGAATTAACCTTTAGGTTCGGCTCCAAATACAACCTCTATATTCTTCATACCAATAATATTATTCTCGAGCATGACTCAACTTATCATAGCATTATATTTTTAAGCAAAAAGTCAAAAGTTTGAATCCTCACGTGTTAACAAAGAAAAGCATACTCCAAAGATCATATCCAATTATAAAGTTCCAAGCCTAAATAAGATGCTAAAAGTAGAATCATATCCAATTATACTAAAATGACCTCAAATATCTCAAAACAAAAATGGTTTTCAGCAGCAAACATGATTCAGAAATCATTCCAGCTATCAATCCAATAGTCCTAACAGAAGCAAGAACAGTTTTCAGCTCAAAGCTGACTAATCGAACATACTCTGGGGTGAAACAGAAAAAAGGAGAAAAGAACCATCGCTAAGGTAGGGAGTATCAACCACTTGCCCACTAATACTATGAGATCCTACATTGGTTGGAGATGGAAACAAAATATTTCTTACAAGGATGTGAAAACCTCTCCTGACGCGTTTTAAAACCGTGAGAACGATAATAAATAACAGACCAAAGCAGACAATATCTGATAGTGGTGAACTTGGGCTGTGACTAATGGCATCAGAGCCAAACATCAAGCGGTATGCCAGCGAGGATGCTGGACCCCCAAGGAGGATTGAATGTAAGATCTCACATCGGTTGGAGAGATGAACAAAGTATTTCTTATAAATGTGTGGAAACCTTTCCCTATCAGACACGTTTTAAAAACGTGAGGCTGACGACGATACGTGACAATACGTAACAGGAAAAAACAGACATTATTTGCTAGCGGTGGGCTTGGGCTGTCACAAATGGTATCAAAGCCAAACACCGCGTGGTATGCCAGCGAGAACGCCGGACCATCAACGGGGGTAGATTGTGTGAGATCCCACATCGGTTGGAGAGGGGAACAAAGTAGTCCTTATAATGGTGTGGAAACCTCTCCCTAACAATCACATTTTAAAACCGTGAGGCTAACGATGATAAGCAACAATCCAAAACGGACAATATCTACTAACATTGGGTTTGAGTTTGGGTTGTTACAAGGAATCCATAGATGGTAAAACATAAGCAAAGCTAAAGAAATGAATTTAGCATTATACAGATGAGACTTCCTACAGCAAGCAACAGAAAGGCAATCTGATTCTACAACTTACCCTGCAACCACAAACTAGAAAGATCATTTTGCAGCAAATTCTCAAACGTGACCAAAAGTTAACCAACATGCCAGCTGAAGCATAATCTCCAACAAGCAGAAGGATCAGAAAGAACAAGATAATGATAGAGAAACAGCATAAAGAGGCTTTTGACATTTCATGTCTGAGCGAGCTCGATATGTGGTAGTCACTAATAGTATGACATGAAAAATAAACATGGACAACAAAAAGAAGAGAACAATTTCAAGTTTCTACTACACGGGTTGAAAGGAGGGTAAAACAAAAAACAAGAACATCAGAAAAATGAGAGGCAGACCCGACTTCAACAATATCTATTTGTAAATCAGCTATATCACTTGCATTTGTATGGCAGAAGCAAAAGATGGCAATAAGAACTAGAAATTACTCTTTGATGCCATTTCAAAGCTCAAATTCTTCGTCCCTGAGAGCCAACTCCGCAGCCTCTTCTTCTTCCTCGTCAAGAACGAAGTAATCATTTCTCTCCACAGGCCTAAACATGTAGAACATCACCATATAAAATACAAGGCTTGCAATCTCCTCAGCTGCATTACTAACCCACTGATACTTGTATGCTGCAATGGTCTTGAGAGCAAAAACAACGATCCTTGTAAAATACAAATATCCAATCACAACAATGTAGAACTGCCTAAAAAGGGTGAGCTTTGCCAAATTCCTTGCAGCCTTCCCGTCGGTCTTCGATGTCTCTCGAAGAGATCGAATGGACCAAACAATTGGGAAAATTATGGCACAGCAACATATGATATCTACCAACAAGAAAACCTGATTCCAAGTGACCCAATCCTTGATAAAAGGTCCAGTCTCACCGATCACAACCGAGGCGACATTAGCCAAGACTTGAAGTGGGATAACAATCATCAAGACCTTCTTCTCCTTCTCTTGCAAGAACGGCTTCAAAAACGACCACCCAGTTCCGATCAAAACAATCACAGTGAAAAGCAAAACAACCCGAATAAATTGAAAAATGTAGAACAACACATCCCAACCGTGAGGCGTTCCGGTGATTTTGACATAATGCTTGTCCTCAGCAGCGCATATGAGATTCAACGCTTTCATCAATAGCAATCCACTCATCAACAAGTGGATCCTGTGAACACTGCGCTTATTCGTGACACACGCGTAGATCCAAAGCCCTAAGAAGGCAAGGTACGCGAGAAAAAACACGAAATACAGCGAAGGGAGCTGAGTAAGGCCAGCGGAGAGATAGTCCTTCGAACCATCGCGGTCCAAGTTGTACACCTCCGTCCTCACCTCCATAGAAACCGATGATTCCGGAACGCAATTAGCGAAGAAAAGGCTATATTCATTGGGAGAAGAAACAGGATAGGAATGGTTGAACGAGCTCTGAGGCGGAGGAGATAGATCCCGGAAGGTAAAGAGGCGCAAGATATAGTGTGAATCAAGAACACAAAACTGAGGGTTTTGCTGGATCTCGAGGAGAACTTGAAGAAGCGCTTCTTCAGATAACAGGAAGAATCCAAGCCGAGAAGGCTCGGTTTCTCCAACCGACGTAGTAACAGAGACCGATTTGACTGAAATGGAGACCTGGCCGGTGTGAGTGAATCCAAATTTCTCGAAGAGAATCATGGGGCGGTTGTCGGAGGAGATCTTGAGGGATTTTATCTCAGCGGTGGAGGAGGCGGCGAGGAGGCCGAGGAGGAGGAGGAAGAGAGGGAGGCGGAAGGGTGATGTCGTCATTTCGATTGCCACCGAAGATCGTCCCCAGCGAAGCGTTCAGCGGCGAGGTTCGAGAAGATCGAATACAGGTGCGGTTGGGACTTAGAAAGGGAAGAATGTGACGCTGGCGTGAATTGAGCGGTTAAGAATGTGTAATGACGGAAATGGCCTCGCGCTCAGATCTTCCCGGCAGGGGATTGAAAGAGATGAAACGATGTCGTTTAATAGGGTTTTGTGTTAGTTAACCCAAGATTGTCGGTTTGGATTTGAAAGGTCTTGTTCCCGCAACCGGCCAGGCAGGTAACAGTCCTCAATTCTTCAACTTCATATCTTACGTGTTATTAATTTTTTTATTTTTTTTATATTTTGTATTTAATAAATTATTAAATGGTAATATGGGATCTTAAAATTTTAATTTTATTTCTAATAAATGACAGATATATCAATATTTTTAAATTAAAATAACAAATATAATAAACGTAAAATTATATTTTGTGTTTAATGAAACATTTAATATTTAAAATTGTTGTTCAACAATTTTATTAGAAATTAAAAAAAAAATGAAGATGGAAATATAATATGGCCATACTTTGACCATGAACTATAAAAAATTGGAGAGTTATTATTATATTTTAAAAGAGATATAATTTTAGTTGAAATTACGGAAAAAGCCATCGTGCATCAACAAAAATGAACCACCTCTCAAAAGTTAAAATAAAAATTTTAAAACGTTGAGGGTATAATTGAAATATATCTTAAAATTCATGAATATATAGAAATGTACTATTTATGCTAATGTATCCACTATTTTATCGGTCATTACCACATCAATTTAATCAGTCATTGTCACGTCACTTTTATGTATTTGTTTTAAAATTTTAAAGCATGGTTGACTTCTTTAATTTAAGGTAAAAATCTTTATAAACTCATTAATTTAATCCAGTTCTATCCATTAAATTTGATTAGCATATAAATTAATAATTGAATAACTCAGTTAAAATTCATAATTTTTAACAATATTTTTTACTTCATATCTTATTAATTTAGATATATATATATATATATATGAAAATATTTTTTTACGATATTTAAATAGAAAAATTAACAAATGGTTAAAATTGTAATACTTAAATAAATTAATAAATAAAAACTTTTCCAATTAATTTAGATATTTATTATTAAAAATTAGGTTTAAATATCATTTTTATTAATTATAATTTCATTAGTTATTATACTAAATTTATTATTAATTTTTTTAAAAGAACATTGAGTCTCTTTTACCTTTCTTTAAATAAATTAAGAAAATATATTCATTATTTCAAAACTAATATTTTAATTTAGAAGTTTTAAAAAACAATAAAACCATAAAATCGGAAAATAAAAAATAATAATAATAATTAAATAGTCAAACAATTATCAATAAATTTTGAAGCACGGAAGATCAATGCTTGTCTGCCGTTGACTCTTGACCAAACACAGTCGAAAACGCCAGAAGCCGGAAAACGAAACAACCAAACGATTAAAATACCCAAAAAACCCTCCAAAAGCTCCATAATTTCACCACTCTCAACATGCCATTCTCGTAATATTAACAAAGAATCAGCCCCATTTTGGTCATAACGTTCCAGCATGACCTATTTATTCGTTTACGGCTCTTTTCCTTGAAATTTTCCTGTACCTGCCTTTATTACAGCAAGTCGATAAATCGGTTAAAGCCCCGAACTCTGCAGAAGGCTCCAAAACCTTGCGCGCATTCAGTTGGTAGAATTTGAAGAGAAATTAAAGCTTCAGTTCGAGCTCTCGCCTTGTTTGTTCTTCCATTTATTTGATCATCGGGGGATTTTGAGTGCATTTGTTGGATTTTCTTCTTGGGGTGAGTCCCCGAGTTTTGTTTTTAGTTTATAAATTTTTCTGGTTATTAGGCAAATTTCTGCCATATTTGTTTTATTATTCATCGTTTTTCTGTTCAAGAATTGAAGTTTCTAGGTTTTTTCATTTTTGCATGTCTGGCTTTAAATTCTTGAAATGAGATGCTTCTCTGCTTTGATAAGATGAATTTGATTTATCTTGGGGATGCGCTGCAGATTCTTTAAAAGATATGGTAATTGGAGTAGAGAAGAAAAGAAGTCGAAATTTGGAGTAATTTATGAGAATTTGGAGTAGAGAAGTTTTGTTCTGTTTTTTGATTTCTTGTTGGTGTTTTCTGGGAATTTGATCTGAGTTTCTTGGAGTTGGGCATGATGAATGTGGTGGGAAGAGTTGGTAATTTGATATCTCAGGGTGTTTTAGCTATTGCTGTCCCTTTCCATCCATTTGGAGGAGCCATTGATGTGATTGTTGTTCAGCAGCGGGACGAGACTTTTCGGAGTACGCCCTGGCACATACAATTTGGTAAGTTTCAGGGCGTACTTAAGGGTGCGGAGAAGGTTCGTATAACTGTAAATGGCGTCGAGGCTGATTTTCATATGTATCTTGATAGTTCTGGCGAGGCATATTTTGTAAGGGAAGTTGATACAAGTGAAGGAAGGGATGGTGTCGATGTTATGAACGATTCAATATTAGATGATAAGAGAAATTGTGATGGCAAGAATAATGGAAATCAGGATGTTCTTGAAGATGAGCAATCTCCGTTGGACGATTCGGTTGAGATGTCAATTGATCGGTCAAATGATATCAATAAAAAAATTGTTGAATCACGTGATCAAACGTCGGAAGTAATACTAGGTACAGGGAATGTGGATGATCATGTGCTAACTTATGTCGCAGTCTCAGAAAAGGTTACGGAGGAAGTACAAGTGACTCCACTTCAAAATCATCCCGGTTTTGGTGATAAGATGGATTTTGGTGAAGGTAATGAGAAGTTTGATTTCGGGGAAGATTATCGGCCATGTAATTGTAATAATCTAAATGCATCCAAAAGTGATGTTGATTTGTATAACCTTTGCAGTGCCAACAATGATACTGATGATTGCGAGTACCGACTTGAAGTTTGTGAAGGAGATGAGGAACATGTTCTTCATCTCGAAAGCCAGGTGGATATTACTTTTGGAGGTGATATCAATCAGGTTTCTAAATCCTGTACGGAGCATCCTGAACGTGGTCAATTAGATTCTAAAGATTTCACTTCCTCATTGGCGGGTGATAAATCAGAAGCTAAGCTTCCTAGAGTCGATGATACTGTAGAAGAGCAAACTGTTAAGTTCATCAACAGTGAGTTATCCCAACCGAGTGGACATGATTCCTCAAGCACCTATTTGTCTTCCGATTCACCCATTACAGGCATCCCGGCTGAGAAGCCTACAAACTTGGAAAATATGGATCAAAGTGACCCATCAGTTTACTTTGATAGTGATAATACACAATTGAAGAGTGCTCAAGTGATTGAGGCAGTTGATCACAGAGATGGAGGATTAGATAGGTCTGTTCTTGACGATGAATGCACCGAACATGAACTTTTGGAATTTCGTGCAGCAAATTTGAATGGAAGGATAGATAGTCTCCAAACCACAAGTAAGCTTTCTTTTGCTGGCTTAGCAATTCATCTGTTGATTCATTCGTACAGAGTATTCATTTAATCCGTTTATGCCAATAACCTACAGAGTTCAAAATTTCACTTTGTGGAAGTAAACTTAGTTCTGGTATGGGATTGAATGCTGCTGCTGAAGCATTTGATGCTCATCGTGTATCTGCCGAGGAATTTGGAAGTTCTGCTATGTCAATTATAAAGAACGAGAATCTAGTAATTCGATTTCGAGGGAGGTACTGGTATTGGGATAAAGTGGCTCCGGTAGTGCTTGGAATGGCAGCATTTGGAATGGATTTGCCTATGGATCCCAAGGGTTCGATTCCCGTGGAACAAGATGACTTGACTAGGCCCGAAAATGAGGAATCCGAGAATATTTCCACTTCGTTTGGAAATAGATGGAGTCTTTGGCCTATTCCATTTCGAAGGGTAAAAAAATATGAGCTCAATGGCGAGGACACATCTAATGAGGAGGTGTTTCTTGACACAGAATCCGAGTTCCAGAGCCCAACTCTAACATCCCAACACTACAGTGATTCTACTCGCAAGTGTATTACGAGGACAAATATTCCTACTACTGAGCAGATAGCATCTTTGAATTTAAAAGAAGGTCAAAATAGGATCGAGTTCACCTTCCCTACGAAGGTTTTTGGAGTGCAAAAGGTTTTTCACTGTCTAGTAATTAAACTTGAAGGACTACGTATATCAATGTGACTCTTTTGTATAACTGGCACTAAACCCCGGATGCATTAGCAGGTTGATGCTCATATTTACTTGTGGAAGTGGAATGCACGAATTGTAATTTCAGATGTCGATGGAACGATTACCAAGTAAGTCTAAATTTTATAGCTAATGGAAAGTTACACTGCAACTTCCTTGATGTAAACCGAGTTATTCTCTTATTCGACATATTTTTCCTAAATCTTGTTTCACCATACAACTTCCTAGCTCGTCATGCTCGGGGCTTGCTTTAACAACTTTCTGCAATGGCATCCTGCAAATTGGATAACGGATATAACTCTGTATACATTTTTCTCAGGTCTGATGTCTTAGGCCAGTTCATGCCTTTGGTTGGAATGGACTGGACACAATCTGGGGTGGCTGGTCTTTTCTCTGCAATCAAGGTGTGTTCTCCTAATTAATCATTCAAAGTAACCAACTTTTAGTTGTTCACTACGAATTTTGGTTTTACTACAGGAGAATGGATATCAGCTACTATATTTGAGTGCCCGTGCAATCGTTCAGGCGTATTTAACACGAAGTTTCTTGCTCAACCTGAAACAGGTATCTGTAACATCATATAAACATAACTAAAATGATATCGGCCTTATTAAAGTCAAACGTTGATCGTCTCAGACAATTTAAGTGATAAGCTAGGAATGTTTTTAGCTTTCGATAGGAAATCGGAATGTTCGAATGTTTGGGTTTATCTAAATTAAGCTTTATAAATCAATTTGGCTGTTCCATGTGCTGTTGTTTTTGTTTCTTTATTTTTGGTCTTTCTGGAAATGGATCATTCTTCTGCCATTGCAGGATGGGGAAGCTTTACCCGATGGCCCTGTCGTCATTTCTCCCGATGGACTTTTTCCTTCGTTGTACCGAGAAGGTAAAATTTTTTGTTTGTCGAAGTAGCCTTGTTGCATAGAACTCCGTTGAGTCATTTCAAACGTAGAATAGCATTTTCATCCATATGTCAAACAAAATAACATTAAATGATTGTTATTTCAAGCCATTTCAAACTCTTGACATTACATCGATGTTTGTGTTCACATTCCATCTTTTTTCCAATTTAATTTGGTTTTAGAATCATTATGTGAGATCAGAACGGAACCTTCTTTACAAGGGTGCGGAAATCTCTCCGTAACATACGCATTTTAAAAACCCAAAAAAAGGGTTTGGGCCATGGCTATTACACATTATCATTATCACATAGGGTCCTTTTATCAAGTTTCAGGTCATTATTATGTTTGAATCTTATTCTGTTTCTTTTATGATGGTGAGCAGTAATTAGAAGAACACCTCATGAATTTAAGATCGCCTGCTTAGAGGTAAATGAAAGATGAAATATGTTGCAACGTTCCGTTCAAATAGTTTCTTCTCTACCAGTTCTGAAACTCAAACTCCCATTTCTCTGAGAAATCTGCAGGAGATTAGAAGGCTTTTCCCTTCGGATCATAACCCGTTCTATGCGGGCTTCGGTAACCGAAATACCGACGTACTAAGTTACATGAAGATGGGGATCCCAAAAGGCAAAATATTTATAATCAATCCTAAGGTATTGAGCTGGTTGGTGGTCAAGCGTATGAGAATTCTATACCAACTCTATAGTAATAAAAATGCATCACCTTGCAGGGAGAGGTGATGAATAGTCATAGCAACAATGCTAAGTCGTACAAGTCCTTGCTCGTACTCGTCAATGAAATATTCCCACCTGCCTCATCGGTTGAACAGGTAAGAATAAGCATACATTTGTGAGTAATTTTGATTAAAATTGTGAGATTCCATATCAATTGGAGGGAGGAACGAGTACCATCGAGAACGTTAGACCCCAAGAGGGGTGGATTGGGAGATACCATGTTGGTTGGAAAGGGGAACAAAACATTTTTTATAAGGGTGTGAAAACCTTTCCTTAATAGACACATTTTAAAAACCTAGAGAGAAAACCGGGAAGAGAAGGCCTAAAGAGTTACCTGTAATTCTTTAGCCAATATATCGACACCTCACTAGTCTCTCTCAACCATTGCAGGAAGATTTCAACGATTGGAACTATTGGAGAACGCCTTTCCTTGAAGTTGATTAGGGATTTTTGTTTATATTGTATTTTCTTTTAATCTTATTATTAGAATATATTTATTTGCAAACTGAAATAGGTGAATGAAGTTCTCTTTTAATTAAAGAGACGAACTTGCTGATGTGGTTGCATGTCTGGTAAGTGATGAACTCTGCAATAATTCATAAAAATAATTCATAAATAAATATTATATGATGGTCGGTTGGTTGGAACAAGCGAATTACATGAACGTGTTCCACGAGTGTTTAAAAAAATCGATGACCTATAAAACATTATCCATTTAATATATTCGTTCGTTTTGGGTTGAATTACGAGCTTATCTTAATGAAAATTTTATGAATTAATTTTAAACAATAATTTGAAATTAAATGTATTTTATAATAATATTTTAAAAATAAAAAAGAAAAAAAAAAGTCTAATGGTTAGTGATTAGGTTGACAAACTAAATTTATTATTTAACTTAATACTATAATATTTAATGGAAAGACATTAAGGCTTTATTTGAAGTAATGGGCTCAATTTGGGCCCAAGGCAGAGGCAGGCCCAATTCAGGGTAAGAGTAGCGTGATTTGTATGGAACCCATTCCGGTAATCGTTATAAAATTTGGAGCGAAATCGCAGGCAGAGGAATCGAGCCACTACCTCATAGGAGAATTGCCTCGAACTGGTTCACGGTTCCTCTTGACTTCTTCCTCCCCTTTCCTTTCTCTTCCATTCTCCGATCCTTCTCTTCCAGAGGTTTCAATCTCCATCTCTTTCATCTGCACTTTCCAGATCTTCATCAGTGCGGCATTTCGTAGTATTCGATCCTTTTTTTTTTTTTCTGGATTAATCTAATCGGCCACCTGCATTAGAGAAGTATTATCTATATTCATATGTTCTAGCATTGATCGGAGGTGGAGAGTCTTAGCTAAAATCTCGTTTTTTTGTATATTAGAACGAGAGAGAAAGAGAGAGAGAGAGAGAGACCTGGAGAGGGAAGGGCGGCAATGTCGTGGCTTAGAGCAGCGGTGATCAAGGCGGTGGAAGCGAGTTCTGGACGGAAGGATAACCTCACCCGCACCGTCCGTAACTACGCTGGCTCCGTCGCTTATCATGCAGGAAATGCTGTCGTGGGAGGCGCCAAGATCATCCAAGACCGCATTGTAATTTCATTCACTTTTCCTCTTAATTCCCTCGGTTTTTAATGGCGTTTGGTTCAGTTGGTATCGTTGTGAATATTTTCGAGATACCCTAGGACATGGAACCCGACGGTATTGATCTCTGTTTCATACGAGGCGTTTTTAGTTAAGCAGTATTACGTCTGTGCGCATTGCCTATTAGTTCTTTGTATACGCGTGTGTTGCTTGTTACAATTTCTGTTTCTCAGATGAGTTAAGTTTCGCGTTTGATTTGCGAGGCAGGGAAGGAATATGCAGGGCTTTAAACAGGCAGTAAAAAGGCTGGAAGAAATCTCTGTTTCGTCTAGAGGTCCAGAAAGAGTTCAGCTATTGAGAAGGTGGCTAGTAACGCTCAAAGAGGTGGATAGATTGTCATCAGGTCCTGTCGAGGGGGGTAAAAACAGTCCGACAGATCAGCTTAACGATGAAAATAAAGATTCTCCGAAGAGACCTGCGTTGGTATGTATATCAATTAACGTTATTGTGTTTCCATAACACTTTTGCATGTCTGAGTTGATTGAAGGATTTGTAGTTGCTTTACGTTCGTTTTCTCCCACGACACTGAACGTCATGAAGTGTTGCTGGATATCTTGCTCAGGTCTATTATTTGGACCCAGATATGGGAAGCGAGCTGAGAACTTTTCGTGATGTGTTTCTTACAAGCCAAGCTCTAGAAGGCATTACGTTGTCTATGGTGAGTTGAATCGAATACATGTCAATACCTTGTTTTTCGCAAAACATTGGTATACGAAAATATGCTAGGTAGTTCTAAATGTATCAAGTCATTCATTTAGTTCTCGTTCTGTTGGAATGATGTTATAATTTGATGTGCACAAAAGGCCTTAATTTTTTACTCGTCTGCATTTTATATGTAAATATAAACATTATTTTCCCGGTAATGGAGGGATTTCTTGTTCTCAATTGCTTTCGTGGGTTTTGTTTTTGCTGACCTTGGAGCTTAACCGCAGGTTAACCTTTTCTATGTCTCAGATTCTCGAGGAACCTAATGACGAAGAAGAATCACTACTTCTTGAGATATATGGGTGAATATTCATTCTCAGCTACACCTTACGTGTTCATTATGCCTTGCAGCTGTTTCAGAAAGTCTTCTCACATTACTTGTGCAGACGAGAAGAAACAATATTAGAAATTTCTACACCTCATAATCATTTTCACACTCATATCATTAGACTTTAAGTTCCCCTTGTCATGGCTATATTCAGGCTCTGTCTTTCAGGAGGAAAGGAAGTACGTCAAGCAGTAATGACGAGTGTACACACTTTGGCAAAAGCATTTTCAGAATACCAAGATGAAGTACTGGTAATATCATGAAGACATGAATTAATTTCAGCATAAAATTAGCATGGGCAAAGCAGTCACTTCCCTCTGTCTTTCCCATTTGTAGGTGAAACGAGACGAACTTCTTCAATATGTCCAAGATGCAATTTCAGGGCTGAAAATAAATGCTGATTTTGATAGGTGGTGAATAAGCATATCTTTCATAATTCCCTCATTGGTCTTCAACAACTAGATATTTGATAAATTTTGTGTGCGTGGATTTTTATTAACAGAATTACCCTTCAGCTAAATTGAAACCTATACAAGGGTGAATTGGAGTTGGCTCTAAGGAGAGTATATGGGATGAGAAAGGAGAGTTCAGTATGAGTGATAAAATAGAGAATGACCCTAGTTATGTGTTCAAAGAGAGCATACGGTCAAACTTTGTCACAAACCTCATCCCTATCCCGCTCATGTCATTAAAATTATACTTGTTTTCCTCATAAAAGAAATGGTTATATATTTATTCCATTCTTTTAAATCTCTGAATGAACAACAATAACTCCGTTCCTCTATATAACCTCGACCTTGTTAATATCCAGTGAAGAAAGTGAAATCTTCTATAGAAAATCCACCATAAGAGAAAGGAACATGCACTCAGAATTAAAGGGTTATAAAAAGTTTCAAAATACTGATGGTTGTGTTGGATTGATGATCGATTCTGATGTCCAACTTCACATCACTGAGGCTTGCAAAAAAAAAAAAAAAAACCTTCTGATGTTTCGTTCTTCCTAGCCATCATTTTATGTCATCCATGTTGGTTTTCCTCTTTGTTAGATACACTCTAAGTAAACTTATGATTTATTTTTATTCTTAGTCTCATTCTACGTTGCTATTATTCTTGTTCTTATGTTCTTTTTTAACAAGAAAAAGAAGAACTTTTCATGATATTCTTGTTCAATTTGGGAAAAATAATTTTGGTGGTTCACCAATGCTAAAAGGTTAGGAAGTACAAGAATCCCTTGGTGGAATATCATGAAAAGCTTGAAACTTCGGTTAAAAATTTTTCTTCAATAAAAGTGGGTAATGGTACCGAGACCTCCCTGGCATGATTCATGGGTGGGGTCTGAACCTTTGGCGGCGAGATATTCAATAAATTTTGACCTTTCAAAGGAAAATGATTTGTTGGGTTTAGAGGCATGTGAGGAAAACCAGCCTGCGGAAAGTTTTTGTAAGAAGAAATTTGAAGGATGGGGTGGTGGATGACTATTGTGAACTTTTAAAAATTAATTGAAGGCTTCTTATTGAGTATAGAAGAAAGGACAGAAGTGTTTGGCTGTTCCTCGAATCTTGGATTAGAGAGTCTTCTTTTTTCTTTTTCTTTTTCATTTTTTTTTTTTGAAAAATACATCAGAAACTTCTTATTCCAAAATCAAATGTGCATTAGCACCAAGTAGAGAATAAAAAATGGGACAGGAATCCCATTATGATTGATATAAAATCCAATATCCAGACTATTAATTTCCTTAAGCCACATCCTGAAATAGATATTCAGGAGGAGCAACCATATTAATCCATGCGCCCTCATGAAATTGTCCAGACTCTAGAGAACACAATATTCAGAAGCATAGTGTATTAATCCATGCAGCCTACTAAAATTGATGCCAGTCATTGAAATTTAATCTATACTTTCAGTTCTTTTATGTTAAATTTTGATTATATGATTTGGTAATGCTGATGCTTGGTAAATTGTGGAGAATGGAACGGATGCTCTTTAAACTATTTGCACCTTGTAATTTCGGGAGTAGTAAAAATCCAAGCAATGCACTCTTGACCATTGTCTCAGAGCATATTGAAGATGAAAAGGATTTTTGGGTTTAATAGGCTTCCAATAAAAATTTGCACACTAGCTTGCAAGCCCGTTGATAAAGCATTGAAGGGTGGCATGACAAAAAGTAGAGAATTACTTAAGAGGATTACTGATACTAGGTGTGCAACTCGAAAGATGGATTAGGAAACCAAGAGTGGCCGGAAATATTAATTAGATAACTTATGGGTATGAAGTTGCGGGAAACTATGGATAGGTAAGAGTAGTTAATCACTAATGTAGGATCTGGTCTTCTCTGTAATATTATATAGTTAATTAGTTATTTATTTAATAATTATGGAAGGGAAGGGGGAAGAATAGCCATTTTTGAATTATATTCGACATGCGGGGAGTTTTTCAGACCTCTTGAATATCTGGATTTGGTTGTATTCTATTCCTTCTTTGACTACCAATAGAAGGCTTCTCTTGTGGTGTGCTAACAATGTACTCATTATAATGCGTTGGACAAACAAACCTTTCAATATATTATGTGTTTAATTAATGATCATTGTGTGGGTTTGCAATGTTCTCAGTTGAAGTTTTTCATTGAGCTGATTTACATTGTAACTCAAATTTATTTATTCTTCTGTCAATTTCCTGCTCTCAGAATAGATGCTAAAGCATGTAGTGTGAAAGAGAAACTTGATGAAAAGCAGGAAGAGCTGACGCCTTCAAGTGGAGACCATGACAACACATTTGATAATGGAAGTACAACTTCTAAGGTGGTTATGAATTTAATTTATATATAAAGACATAGATATGAACCATGTATTGAATGTGGTCAATTTTTTAGTTAACCATCTAAATGTTTTAGTTTGTACTTCTA